ATAGATGAACATAAATTCCATTATCGTAAGAATGGTAGCGAGCGTTACACGACGCATGAATAAACGAATAATCATACGTATACACCGATAACAGTATCTCGAATAAAATCGTCAGTCGCATAATTACTCGAGAGGCACAGCCAAGATAAAGCGGCTTGTTAAGAAACGTAACGAGCAGGTAACGTTAGACCCGGTGCACGCTATTGTGAGACGAACCGTGATTTACGATCGTGTAAGAGCATTCGGATAACTTCACCACGAGGAAACACGACCCTATCTCCTTTGCAGTCGATACCTTAGTTCGGATATACAAGAATATGCAGGATATTTCCGTAGCCAGATTAGGAAAGGTTTAAGGCTCTAAATGCATATGTATATGCAGAAAACTTGACAATAAACTTCATAAAGTTGTCGTGGTTAAATTATTGTGTATTTCGTTTCTGAAACGTCACCATGGAAATATGTCCTCTTGGAAATATTTCTTACGGCTCCAAACTTGTCTTGTTCAATTTTGAAAGCGGTTTTATGAATGATTTATGATTTCAATATTTTAAATTCAAAATTATAAATGATTCGGGATTGTGAATGACTTTCAGCATTGTCTTCGCGTCTCTTTTGATGCCATTAACATCGTCATTAAGGTATTTCTTCAGCTTTTGCATCAATACTATTATTTAAAGTAATTTTAGAACTTAATTTAAAAATAATTTTAGAAGTGGTTCAGAATAATTTATAATTTCGATATTTCAAATTCAAAATTGTGAATGATTCAAGTTTGCGAGCATTGCTTTTATTGTTCTCATATTTCTAGTTACATCATAATTTCGTCGAAATATTATCTTTTAACATTTTAGAACAAAGTCGTTGAAGAAATAAATAGAAAGAATGATTCAATTTTTTTTTTATCAAATTATTCTTTGGAAAATTGATAAAAATTATCAATTTCAAAAATTTATATTTTTTAAATAATTTCAAAATCAAAGGAAATGGTGAATTAAATCTTCTCTATTTTTGCATAAAGTACAAAATATATTTTAATCTCAACAAAATTTTATGGAAGAAAATGATTTTTTTCAACAATTACAAAAACAAAAAATCTAAAACCAAACCAATTTGATTTGGTTTGTTATGTTCTAATGTTAAAAAGTTAAGAGAGTTAATCAGATTCATCCAGAACCTTTCTTTATTACTTCTTTCTATTTTTCTCTCAAGTAACACTTTCAAAGTTGTTTTATAGTACCGGTCGTTTCACTACCACTTTGGTCACTTTCTCCAAAATCGATCCTAGTGGCTATTTAACTGTTGTAAATGTGCTTGAGAATATCCTTCCGGTTCCCATAACTTCTGCACAATAGAAGGTTTTAAGAATAAGATATAAGGATACATAAAAGATGCAAGATTAAATCATCATTTCGTTACGAAATAAATTAATAAAGAATAATGTTTTTCTAAAGGCCACAGAAATTAAATAGAATGATTCAAACTTTATAAATAAATTAATTAAAATATCATATTTCAAAAAAAACAATTGTTTCATCTTCAAAATATACACTAATCAAATTGACATTACAAAGTTTTTATATTTTCCGATTACAATTAAATTAATCGACACAAATCATCTAGAATAATTCAGTCCAAAATTTCATTTTAGATATTCATCAAAGAAAAAAAAGAAAGGAAGAAAAAGAAAGAAAAAAAATTAGAAAAAGAAACTTACTTCAAACAAAACCAAAAAGAACGAGATTTGTTAAAAAAAAAATTATAAGATCATTGAAAAACAAATTGGAGCAAATTTATTTGCGATTGTTCCCGCGAAAAATCGGTAGTGGAGTACGATGACTTCGAATAGGAAACAAATCCGATGGTAGCGCGGGTTTCGATTCTGTCCAACTCGGCGGGAATAATATTCGATTTGGAATCGGGCCAGCGGTAAAAAGCAGATTTCGAGTATGCGGATCGATGATATTTCACCTGCATATTCGCGTTACCATGCGAAATACGCGAGGGCACGTGGTGTGCTTCGGTTCGCCCGTCACGTGTGCTCTATGCGTAACTCGTCCAATATTTCTAATTTCCGCGTGTTACGTTTAAGGTCCAGAGAAATCGGCGTGCAAAACTCGTGAGTCCACGCTTGTCTATCTATAGTACCGGCCGTATTCTGTCGCGTGATGCAACTTTATAAGCACGAGGTCCTTCGAAATAATTCGGATAGCGCAACGAAAGAGTAGCAGAGGCAAACATCGTTCTTCTTTCCCATGTTAAGTATAATGAATTTTTCGAAATATCTATAATGTGATAAGATTATCGATAACATAGAATAGAAATGTTTGAGGATAGATATAATTTTTCGATAAATATTTCAGGTTTAAAGGAAGAAGAGCTTCGAGTATCTTATAATATATGCTTGAGGTTGAAAAATGATAAATAAGATATTTTGACTAAGAAGAACGAAATATTTAAATTATTTGTCAGAATTTGTAATTAATAATTAGAATTATTATGTGAATTTTTCAGTTGAAGTAAAAAAGATTGAAAAATGCTGTATTAAAAAGTTGTGAGATGAAGGAACGAAATAACGATACAAAAAACCAAAGAAATTAATACATACGTACCTATTTCCCTGGACTGGATCCTTTATTTAATTTTATGAATGATTTTGTATAACGAAGTAAAAAACTTCAATAAGTGTCCCAGACTTTTTTTCTTTCAGATTTTTTTGAAAGAACACTAAAAAAAAAAGAAACAGACTTAAAAGTAAATGCATAGAATTTGATGCGGACAGAAAATCGAAAAAAAAAAGAAAAAAAAAGATTGAAAATCCAAAAAATTCTGCAACTTTATGCCGCATCCGCAACAACCTTGACGTGGAAGCCTTATTTTTACATCGAGACACACGATGTAAAGGCTTCATGACACCGTACACTTGTATGATTCGTTCAATTACATTAGCTGTCTGTTTAAACCATGACACACAAAAATGGGAAACGAAACATATAGAAATCAAATAGAGAAGTTTCAACAATGAGAGAATACTTTTTGCTCCATTGAAAATACCGATCAAATGCTTGAAAATTCTATAAGAAAAATTACTTCGTTTAATGTCTAGACAAATACTACTTATACAAGGAATCAAATGTAAATATTTATTCATTTTTTTATTTAATTGAAATGCAAAACAGAAAATGATTATGCCCCATCTATTCTATTTATTTCTTAAACACTGGAAATAAATTAAAGTTTTTATATCTTATTTTATATATAAATAGTAGTATGATTTCAGTAATAGATTAAATATGATAATATTAAAATTAAAAAAAAAAAATTACTTGAAATAATATCTATATTCTCACATTTCAATGAAATTAAAAATACTCGTTTCAAAGTATCATTTTGTGTATATTGATTTTTAAAAAGTATATTTGAAATATTATCTTTTTGTTTAATTAGTATATATTTCAAAGAAAAAGTAATTTACAAAATGACTGAAAGAAACAGAAGAAAAAAAAATATTTATTCTTCATTTCAAAATATATTTTCAAAGAAATAAATATTTGATGATGAAAGAGTCGTTTCTCTAAACCTACATCTCGATCAAGATCTACGGATCCTTACACGGCCTCGTTTTTACTTCTAAATCACACACGAGCGTCTTTAAATTACTGTCACCATTATCTTATCGTACAGTCCCTTTTACAGAATCGTAAATACTAGTTGCACAGCGTACGAGAGGAACGGCCACGTGCCCCGACGTGTCGTCGCTGTAAATTATTCAAAACCGGCACAATAATGAGTAAGCAACTTATGAGTAGATAAGCCTCGCCTTCCCACTTATTACCATACCTCGACGATGCTAACAAGTAGCGAGCAAACCTTGCTTCGAGAAACTCAATTTTTTCCTTTTCCCAATATTTTACCACGCTTTAAATCTACCATAATTCCTTCACTTACGAATAAACCAGTGTATATTTACTTTTAAATACTTATTTTGTGCAACATGTAAGTAAATATTACATTTTTTCAATCATTTTTTTCACTCGTTCAATTCCGGGTCTGAAAACAATGTCTGAATTTAATATCTATGTTTGAAGTACAATCGCGTCGATATTGTCTTGTATTAGTAGTTGTCTTTTTATTGGTAATTTTAATTAAATAATATTGTTTCTATATATTTTATCAATTGATATTTCCATAACATTTTAAAAATCCGCGATAAGAATATAAGGAAAAAAAAAAATTGTGACTTGGTTAGAGTTGTTCAAGATGATTTCAAGGTCAAATAAATGGCAATACAATCTCTGTCTCTCGCAATAATAAATTTTATCTATAAATATTTTTCCAAATTTTTTTCTTAATTATATTCTTTTTTAAATAGCTTTTCTTCTTACTTATTTCTATAATATAAATTATTATATCGATAACATAAATATATATCTATATTTTAGGAAAAAAAAATTTTTTTTTCTATTTCTCCAGTTATCATCAAATATCTACAGGATATCTACAATATCTATATTTCCACAAATCTAATCTAACGCATTAAGAAAATCCTAATTAATTTATCCCTCATTTACTATCCGTTCAAATAACCACCATCCACCATCCATAATCTCATTAGCACAAAGCATAATCGCTTCTCAAAAAGGTTCAACCCAATTCTAACCCAATAACGTGTGAAAAGAAAGTTGCATCAAATACGCTTCGAGACGGACCTTGCTCCAACACGACCAAGGTTCTGATCGATAAAACGGAAGCAACGGGACGTATACGAGACCAAAGGAGCACCGCCAAGGGCGCGGAAGACTCGGGAACGATCAGGATCAGGATAGATGAAGATATCCGGAGGATGGTGTTTCGCGTCGCGACGAGGTCAAAGAGAAGCGAAGAAAGAGAAGGCTGGGCTTGTCGTTTCGCCGCAAACCCGAAAATATCCATGTTGGCCGGTATGTTGAAACCTGGCATAAGCTTTGGCCGGTTGCCAGAAGAGCGGTACTCGGTTGGAGGCCACGCCAGGCCAGAGGCGACCGGCCTCGTCGCTTCGAACGTCCGTCCGTTAGGCCTCCTCGCGAAAAAAGGAGAGGGGAGAAAAAAAAGTGAGGAGGAGAAAAAATAACGAGAAGACCCATAGGCTGTGCCGTGGAGCAACGTAGAAATGATGTTTCCAGGAGAATGAGTCGGGCCACAAAACTGATAGTTGACTTATCACCGAATTACCCTTTTAATCATTCGTTGACCTTTTTTTTTTTAACTGGACATCTCCGGTTAACTGGGTTTAGTTCTCTTTTTTTTTTGGGCAAACGTGATAAGCGAAGCATTAGGAAAACTACGTATTCTTTGATACTCTCGATGATAGTTTTATTATGTTTTTTATATTTCTCTTAGACTTTTTATAGATTTTTGTAGATTTTTATAAGTTTTTGTTTTTTTATGACAGAAAAGAAGAACGAAGAATTTTTGTAGAAATTTTTTAAATTTAATTGGTATTTTTATATTTTTGACGGAATATTTATTTAATTTAATACAGATTATTGCTGAAATTTGTTTCTTGAAATCATTTTTTATCTTTATCGATACAAATATTTGATATTATTTCAAAAATTAATTTATAATAATAAAAATAATCTACCGAGTAAAAAAAAGTAGATGTGCCTAATTAATAATTTATGAATTTGATTCTAATATAAATTTATAAATTTAGTTTATTTGAACTTTCTTTTTAATCATTTATGAATAAAATTCCAAATAAGAAATTTATATTTCAAATATAATATTGATCCTCAATAAAGTATTTAATATTCTAATAATATGCTAAATCACACATCTAATTATTATGACAATTGTAAATAACGATTAATATCAATATTATTCACAAACAATTTAATAAATATCTAAAAATTACCATAAATATTTTAAATAAGGAATTATTTAAATATCTTATATTAATAGATTTTTTTCATCCGATATATATAACTAATGAAACATCAAAGTATGATTATTTTAAAGGTATTATCAATTAATTCTAAAGCGAGTGACATGCTTGTTATAGTGAAACACGTGATGAATTCGATTCCACCCACGGTTACTCTTTTCAGATACCCGTAAATTCGCAATTTATTTCTATTTCTGCAATGACAAATGTCAGTCCTTGAGCGAAGCTATGACGTAACGCTTTATCTCAGTGTCAATCTTGAAATTAATGTTCAACTACATCGCGTGAAAGTGTCGTACACGATAATTACGACCAGTAAACTGCTTGGTCATTAAATATGCACCAAAAAATGCCTCTCCCGTGCAATTTAATAGCCGCGATAAATCTCATTTATATCTAAGTAATCGTTTTCAAGTATAATTTTCTCATACGGATTTTCGTATTATCTTAATAATGAGTAATAATTTGAATAACGTAATGAATAATAAAAAATTTCTTTCTTAAAAAAATATTAATTTTTTTCTAAAAAATATATATATATGTATATATAAATATATATTTGTATATTTATATGTTTATATATAGTGAAATTATAAGAACGCCGTCTTATCAAATTTATAAAACATGGATCAAAGATAAGCTAAATGCGATAACTATAATACATACGATAATCATAAAAGCAATCGACGGATAGTCTGAAATTTTTAAACGAGTTTATGATGAAGCGCCATAACAGAAAAACTTGAGTATGAAAATATTGATAACGATAATAGATTTTCTTTTCTGTATGTTTTATTATCTTAAAAACCTATTTCGTTTGCGCCTTACAATATCATAACATAATACAAAAAATGACCAAAAAATAAGTATAAATTGACAATTATTGAAATGTATAAGTTTAAAAGTAAAATAAATTTTATACAAAAATAGGTGAATTTTGTTCAATTACAATTTTTAGTTCAAATAGTAAAATATTATTGAAAATTTAAATATTCAAAACGTACATATATATATCGAAAAATTAATTTTAAAATAATAACGACATAATAATTATAAACTATTTATAATCATTTTTACAATCACTCACTTTAATCGTTTGATGTCACCTTACAATAAAACCTATTTCATCACGAACAGCGTATGAAATTGGTTACAAAATTGAATGGGAAGTAAGTCATTACGTTGAGTCAGGGAACTGTCCTTAATTTACCGGTTCTATGTTTCGAATTATTGATACAACGTTGTTAAGATAATTAACTTCTATAAGATTTCCATGCTTTCACTTTCTTTTATACATAGCGACAATAAATAGATTTTAGTCTATTTTCTTTTTATTTTTTTCTTTTCTATCGTTACCAATAGACAAAACTTGAACGAGTGCCGCGATTGCGCAAAGCACAATTACCTGAGCTGGACTCGAACCTTATTCCACAGATAATGCAGCTCAACAAGAAATTCAAATTATTCGTTTCTTGAAATATACTTGTCTAATTTACATTTTACACGTCATACGATATAAATTGATATGCAAATTAATTATAATAAAAAAAATATTGACGTTTCAAGAAAAAATGATGATAAGCTTAGAATAATCGTTTAAGTTAATTATTAAGTCAATTTAACAACTGAACAATTATCAAGTTTGATATAATTTCACTTATAAAGCTGACGTAAAACTATAAATGTCAATAAAATACTATTGAATGGCAAACTAAATAAATACTACGCAACTAATATTTTATTTCACTCTTCCTCCTTTAATATCATTCCCCCACTCTATTCTTTTCATAAACTTGAAAGAACACGCATTTTTAAAAGCTCAAAACAATAAAACATGAAATATTAAATATTAATATTAATAAATTGAAACATAATCCAAGGAGAAAACAATCATACAAATAATTAACTTTCGATAAGTATAAATTAATAATTTTAATATAAAATTGTCAATTATGTGAATTTACTATTTCGAATTTATCACATGGTATTAAAAACGTATGTTCCATGGTCAAATCGGAAAGGTTAGTAAATCGTTTCGTAAAATAGTCGTATTGAGCTGAACTAAACCGAACATATAGATTGAGCAAGTGAAAGTGAGGTTAGGTTGGTAGCATCACGTGGTGCACCACGGGGTCCAAACGAGGTTAATCGAGAGACCAAGAACCGAGCGCCGGCGCAACCAATGAACATCAAATGTGTACTTACTATTCTATATTCCTTTTTTTTTACAGCCAATTATAACGAAATTTTTTAAAAAAACTTTTGTTTTTCATATTTTTTAGTATATTATTGAGTATCAATGAAGAAAAACAAAAAATAAATAAAGAAAAACAAAAAAAGTAAAAAGTTTAAATATTACAATGAAGATTCATATTCAAAAAAAATATCTATGACAAAGTGATTCGTCAATGCATTCAAGGGAAAAAACATGTTTGTTCATATTCGTTCGATCGCCGCTAGTCAGCGCTGAAGTAGTATTTGCGCGAATTTCGAAGAAAAGAAAAAATGCGCGTTCTAATAAGACGAAAGAGCTGGGGGAGGAGGGGAGATTATCGAGCCTATATAGTAGGATATTCTAAAAAAAATTATATCTTACAAATTAGATAGGATCATAATGATACTTACCAATCAATGGAAAAATACTAGGTTGATCGAGCAGCGACTTGAGACTGTTTTCAACAAGAGTGGGAGAAGAACGATCCTTGTCACTCATTTCACGCACTGCGCCACGAAGCCGCACGTTCTGAAGGTACACACGCACACACAATCCGTTCGTATACGGAACACCGCACGAAAGAACGAACGACAGATATAGATAGACTTTCTACGTGTATACACGGGAACTAAAAGTGTGTACGCGGAGCAGAAACAGCACACACACGAATGTAACAAAGTAATAACAACGAGCACGCAGGCAACGAGAACGATGTGCCTCCCGTGGGACACAATTAAATGACGTTCTTCCAGACCGGCAGAGAGAAAAGGCGCCCGCACCCAAACCTCTCACCTCGTCACGCTGT